ATATGTTGTTAAAATGAAATGAACAGTCCAATGATCATTTTACTGATATGTATAAAGACTTCAAAGGCTGAAAAATCTTGAAGTCTGTATGAAATTGGAGGTAGTTTAAGGATTAAATTTTTTATGCTTTTTAAGCTCTAAAATGGGGGTCATATTATACATGAGATCACATTATACACGAATAAATACGGTAAATAGTTTTTAAGATGAAAATATAAGGATCAATTCGAAATCGGCCAAAATGGCCATTTAGACCCCAGATCTTAGAGGGCTACATCATATTCTGATGCCTTGATTGGTGCAAAGTGAGTTAAGGTGTGTAAAATATGGGCAACAATCTAGTGTGTGACCTAATATAAACTTTTGTAAGTTGTGCACATGAAAATAGGTTGTGATTTTTAAAATCTGGTTGCACAAATGCAGTTGATTGTAAAAACTCAGATTTTAGTAGGAATGCTGCAGAAAATTCACCCATTATTTTCCCAATTTTGAGTCACTAAATAATCTCCAGCAGTCAGAACCTAGACAGATTCTCGCCTTTGCTTTCCTGTTTTTACTACAGAGCTCTGAGAATCAGGTGAAAGCAGCAATAACTGAGCTGGAGACGGCTGTGGAGGAGCAAAGTGATGACATCAGCTCTTTGGTGATCCTTAATTTCTGTCTCATATTGCTGTTTATTTATTCAGACATTAACACCATGGGTTGTTTGACATTAATGTTTAAATTGATCATCCCACAGGTAGACGTTGCCCAGGAGAACCAACAGAAAATTGAAGCAGAAAAACAAATCGTTCAGGAGGCAAAGTCAGAATTTGACAAGCATCAAAAAGTGTTAGAAGATGCAAACTCCAAGTATTTGTCGGTTAGAAATAAAATTGATCAGCTTTCAGAAGAAATTGAGTCTTTGAAGGTAAAAAAAAAGAAAGCTCCAGAAGCTATATTTTGTATTTACTATTGCAGTCACATTTCTTTAGTATCAACACATGTTTTTAGTACATTCGCATATCTGAAAAAAGTGAAATGTGTAAAATACAATGATTTTCAAATCTCATGAGCTCATATTTTATTCATAGTGGAACAAAGTGAACATATTAAAAATTCAAAGAATGAAATTGTGCAACTTTTAGGAAGAATGTCATTTTATATTTTATGCCAGCAACATCTCAAAAATCTTGAAACAGGAGAAGCGAAAGGCTGTAAATCTAAGAGGCATAAAAACAGTTGGAGGAGCTTTTTATAACTAATCAGGTTAATTATCAGTCACAGGACTTATAGTTGAATCTCTCAGAAGTACAGATGGACAGAGGTTCACCAGGCTGTGAAAACCTGCATCTAAAAACAGGGAAACAGTTTCAGAATAAAGTAACTGAACTGAAAAGTGGAAAGACTGAATTTCTGTCATTTCCAGTTCATCATTTATTTTTAAATTGTACAATTTCTTAGTTTTTATGGAGAGCCGTTTTATTCAAAATACAATAAATAAATATATAATTAAATAAATAAACAATGTATTTAGTTAAGTATTAATAAATATTCCATCAAATACATAAATATCCCTGTGAAATAAAACAAAATCAATATGTATGGATTAATTATGTATATCTGTTCTAT